TGAACCCAAGAAATCAAAATCAAAACCCAGAAATTGCAGACTAGAAAAACCCGTAAGAGTTCATCACTGCCCAGAAATTGCAAAGATAATTTATACCGAAGAATCTCAAGCTAAAACCTAAAAAAAAAAAAAAAAACTGAAACGAGGAGTTAAAGGGGCTGACAGTTAAAGAAATCAAACCCAGAACTCAAAAACGCTCAACCCAAAACCTAGAAAAAACCCAGAAATGTAGAACCAAATTTCGTGAAATCCAAACCCGTTTTCTTTGCTTTTCACTCACCCTCGCCCCACATTTCTTTTTTTTTTTTCTTCCCCCTTTGTTGTGAATTCAGATCCTTTTTATAGACACGAATTCCTTAAATTTCTGCTAGAATCACACAATCAATCCCGAATTTACTGTCAAATCTCACATTCAGATTTGATTAGCTAAACAAATAAGGAAAGGAATCACTGATTACATGATTCTCGGCTGATAAATTCCAGCCAAGAATCATGCAAAAATCAATAACATAATTAGTGGAAGATGTGGATAGATTCTTCCGAAAGATTTTCGGACGGAATTCAGATTGATAGGTCGTCCTCTCAACTTCAATCCTGTCATTCGCTCCGAAATTCCAACTTGGTCCTTGTGAATTTCAATTATCCGCAATCATGCCATCCTGTTGTGTAATTTCAGTGTAATTTTATCAGTTGGGTCCCTGTAGTGTGTATTTTAGGTTTTAAATTTTTCAATTGGTTCAATTGTACCCATAATTATCTCAATTACACCTTCCTTTAAATGCAATTGTTCTCCTGGATGATTTTTTTTGTATTTGCTACATATTTTCCTTTTTTTTATTTTTTATTTTTTCTTCTTTTTTTTAATCATTTTTCTGGTTTTTTGTAGTGAACTCCAAAATGAAATAAAATAAAAAATAGATAAATAATTAAATAAATAAAATATGAGGAAATTTTGGGCTATGACAATTTTCAACCATTTTAATTTCATCGACTATGCAAATGGACCAAATTGACGTATATTCATAAGGATAACTATCAGCATCCATTTTCAAAGTCAAGGTCAACTCATATATTAATTTTATAAAAAAGGAATTAACAAATTCCACAATAATTTCTTTTTCGTGGTTTCCCACCTACTTTGACATGTAAATTTTTTATTTTCCAAACATATACTCAAGGAATAGTCGAATTGTTAGTCCTTTGACAATGACCAAGGGCATGCCTCGTTCTCAAAAAGAAAAAGAAACTTTAACTACACACCTCCACCAGATTAGTCCATTTAGTTGAATGTCTCAACCGGTGATTTGTTTTTGTGCAAGAAGACATAGCTAGCAGATATTTTTGAAAATAGAAATTTCCGATATGAAAACACATTATGCATGAACACATGCTTGACAGCTCCATTTTTTGTCAATGGGTCTATCTTACAGATCTAAGTTGAGCAGTTTAATTGTTTCAAGAAAATTATTGTTGAAGAGTTTCCATGAAAATGAAGGGATGGCCTCTTGAAGACGTTTAATTTCAAACTTGCATGTAACGTCACATGGATCTAGGAATATCGTTCATGTTTCACATTTCTAACCCTCATTTTACGTCAACCACTTGAAGATGCATGCAATATATATTCCAATTTGATCAGACAACATTGTTTTGTCATTGTGGAAATTAAAGTCTACGCACTGAATAATTTGCCTCGTTCCCATTATCATACAAGTTTAGATGCATCCTCCTGCCTCTGGTACTGTCCAAGCCCAAGTGGAAATCTCCGAAGTGCAGGTTCAGAAATTTGAAGTTGGCAACAACCAAAACATCCTGACCAACAATTAAAACAGTTAAACAACACAAAACTGTCATTGTATGAACAAAAAAAAAAAAAAGCTTTGGAATTCTTTCCTGAGAAGAATTCAACTTCGAAGTAACTAAGATTGAATCCATAACAGTACAAGTACATTAGATTTAATTCATAATAGGTTGTAAATTTTAGGGTTTAGTTCTTTTAATATTAAGTGGTCACGCCAAAATTAATAATAAATTATATCCTTAAATAAATCAAATTTTAATCTAGTTTTTTGAAAGTCCATTGGATGTTGAGTAGCGACAATAATTTTAAAAAAGTTAGTATCCTCAAATGAAAAAAAAATTATGTATTCAATTGAGAAAAATGTTAAAATTCGTATGCTCATTTATATATATATTGGCACAGGTAGAAGGGATTATTTCTGACATTCTTTTTTATTTTGATTTCTTTATTTTTTTAATGGATTTTACCTACAGTTGGACTCTGTACCCTTTTTCTTAATTATTTTTTTTAGTAAAACTCTACTTTTTGAAAATTTTTACTTCAAATCCTTTGTTAAACGATATCAAATAGTGATCAACAGAAATTGGTCATAAGATAATTATTAAGTTGATCTTGACTTGGAAAATAAATGATATATAGAAAAATAATGGTAAGAAAGAGCATTATTGTCAAGCATGGATCGTAATTTCTTTTAGACCCCCTTTATCACTAAAAAAAAAGCTGGGACTTTTACGGAATCAAAATGTGTAGAGAGAGAGAGCTAGCTAGCAAGATGCAGAGTGGTAATAAAGATGGATGGAGAGGGTTATGTCACAATTCAAATAAATAACAATCAATTTCGTTATATAGTAATTTTTTCAAATAAAGCGTTAATTTAATATTTGATTAAAAATATTAAAATTAGTTTCTTCACTGTTAGACTACATCTTTTAGTATTTTAATTTGATTTAGAGTGAAATTTTCGGTTCTAAAATTCGAAAATTAACCTTCCCAAAATCTAAAAGTTTTGCCCCAACCTTAAAATTTGTAAATTAAGTGACAACCTTAAAGTTCTCTTTATTAATGTCGTGTGAAAAGGGGAGATATTACAAATTGCCTCTATAAAACAACAAATTAAAGCAATTTAACTCTCTAGCGGCACTTATATATACGTGGATTAGACTTAAACAAGGAAGAAGATGATGAATAGTTTTCCTTAATATTCTTTATTGTGTTATCGTAACTATTTATACGGTAAGTACAAACGTAGATTGTGTAGAACTCCTATAGGATAATGATAGAATAAGTTTATCTAGTTGTGATCACATCTATACATGGAGGAGAGTTGTCCCGTGTATGGACTTTGCTACTCGTAAGAGTTTGTAGTTGCACCCATTACTTGGTTGTTACGGAAGCGAGTGTCGGTTTGGCTTAACACTCCCCCACAAGCCGACGGTGGGAGATTACCAAGTGTGAGTTTTTCCTGTAGAAAGGTGAACCGAGCACTCGAGATTGGTTTGGTCGGAATATCGGCAATCCGATCATCGGTGGAAATGTATCGCACGCACAAGCTCCCCTTGATACCATTTCTTTGACAAAGTGAAAATCGATTTCCACATGTTTTGTGCGGGCATGAAAGACGGGGTTAGTCGCCAAATATGTTGCTCCGATGTTGTCGCACCAAAGAACGAGGTGGTGAATTGGGAGAGACACCTAATTCACTCAAAAGGGTGGTAAGCCAAGAGATTTATGCTTGCCAAGTCCGCAAGTGCCTTGTATTCCGCTTCGTAGAGCTGCGGGCCACACTTTTCCGCTTGGATGACTTCCGGGAGCCGAGATTTGGCCCGAGGTATACGGCAAACCCACGGTTAATCGTCGATCATCTAATGAGCCGGCCCAGTCGAGTCGAGAAACTCGACGAGTGAGATTGTTTGATCGACGGATGTGGAGACCGAGATTGGGTGTGTGCTTAAGGTATCGAAGTATGCGCTTCACTGCAACCCAATGGTCCGTAAGTGGGTTATGCATGAACCGACATACCTTGTTTACGGCATATGAGATATCCGGCTCGGTTAAGGTTACATACTTGTAAAGCTCCAACTACTCGACAATATAGTGTTGGGTCGGAGAAGGTGTCACTTCCTATTTTGGTTAACTTTGCGAGTGGTGGGCATTGGAGTGGAGACTGGACGACGGGAAGTCATGCCCTAGTTCCGTAAGAGATAAGTGATATACTTTTATTGTGAGAGGAAGAGCTCGTTAGCGGTAATGACAACTTCCACACCCAAAAAATAGTTAAGTGGGACAAGATCTCTAGTGGCAAATTTTGCATCCAAAGCGAGTTATCATTGATTGTAGGAAGGGTAAATTGTTTCCTGTTACTAGTATATCATCCACGTATACAAGTAAGAATAATTTGTGACCTTGGTGTCGATAAACAAACGAGAGACGAATCGGACTTGGAGCTAGCAAACCCAAACTCATGTAGGAACTGTTAGAGACAGGAGAACCATGCTTTTGGCGACTCGTTTCAACCCGTACAAGGATCGGTGTAACTTACAAACATGGTGTGAAAGTCTGTTTATCAACAAACCCCACTTGGTTGGGTCATGTATACTTGTCTCACTAAGGCTTCCATTTAAGAAGGCATTGTGCATATCAAGTTGCCTAACCGGCCAGCCATGAGAGGTTGTAATAGTCAAGACACACTCGATTATGGATGACTTCACCATAGAGCTGAAAGTTTCACTCGTAGTTAATGCCTTCAAGTTGGTGGTATCCTTTAGCTACTAGGTGTGCTTTGTATCTTTCGATTGTACCATCAACATGCTTCTTGGTCTTGAAAACCCACTTATTTCCAATGATGTTCATATCTCGGTGTGGGCTGGGACAAGAGATCAAGTATCGATTTGTAGGAGGGATGAGATTTCCTTGGCCATTATAGATCGCCATGCGAGAGAAGTTCTTAGCTTCGATGAAGCAACTAGGTGATTCCGGAACTAACGATGTAGAGGCTGCCAAATTGGCCTCGGGTAAGCGTGGATGACCCCTTAGCCGAAGCTTCATATGATGTGTCCGTGAAGGAGCAAGGGGTAGGTGATCCGAGGTACCTATAGTGTGTGTGTGCAAGTTATAAGCATTGAGATCTAGTAGAAGGTTAAGGCCATGTGGGGAGGGAGGGTTGATTGGTGGGTTAGGGTTACGAGTTTCGAGGTTTGGGTTAAAGCTTAATTGATCTATTTGGGAATGGGTTGTGTGTAAGAGCTAATGCAGGGGAGGCAGCAGCATACACTTTTGGTGGTTTGTGGGTAGCTTGTAAGGAGGCGACGGCACACGCCTCGATGGGGAGGAGGTGGGGGCTGTCGGCGTGAGGAGAGGGGATAAGCAATTGGTAAGTTGTGAGGGGAGAGGCTCGTCCGTCGGAGATGCAGGGTGGAGATATTTGGATGAGCTTGGGTGGTAGAGTTCGCTGGTGCTCGTTTTTTGGTGAGGGAATAGAGTGTGTGATATATTTGTTGAATTACTAGGTATAAAGTGGTCGAGGGGTTAGGGATGGAGATGAGTTGGGTTGGTAAGAGGGGCTGAGCCTATGGCCGGTGGTTTGGGCTTGGTGTGTTGTTTGGTGTAAATGAAGGAAGGGGTAATGGGTTTTGGGTTTTGGGCTAGTGGTGTTGGTTATGCTATGGTGTTTCCGGGGATGGATTAAACTCGGAGTTAGGTTGGTTGGTTAAGAGGTCGCGGATTGTGGGTACGTTATGTATTAAATTTGTGGGTTGGAATTGTTGTTGTTGTGGTAGGGGAAAGAGGTCACTTTTGTTCGGTGTGGGATGCGAGCTGAGCTGATTTCTTCGCTATTTGGGGGACCCATTTGACAAGGCTTAGTGATATCGACCTACAAAAGTGAAGGGAGAGGTACTATATGATGTTCTAGAATTTGACGAGCAAAATTTTTTAGAATAAGACTTAGGACTTTATGATGAGGATGTCTTAAGCGAGAATGCCGGAATGAAGTGGATACCCTTGCAGAGTGAACTTGGGGAGATGGGTGGATGGAGCGAGGTGGTAAGGAGTAGAGATCGGCATCACTGTGGCCCGAAAGCAAGGGTTGCTTGTGTACACGGTCCTTGAGACGGAAAGTAGAGGGTGAAATTCAAAAAAGAGATTATTATCACGGCTTAGTCTTTTTACTGAAAGGATTGGACGAGTTATTTTAGGGACATGTAAGACATCAAGTAACCGTAATGTTTTGATGGGTGTGGAAATAGAACTAGTGCTTATGTGAAGAATTTTTAGGTACTCACCATTACCAACACTGGAGCTGATCGGGACCGGTGTAAGGCTCGTATGTGCTTGAAGCTGGATAGATCCGGTGTTACATGGTGAGGCACCGAGTGTCCGGACACTAAGGTCTGGGCATATGAGGCGACAGGGGAAGTAGCTAAGATGTTCGCAGATGGTCGAGGAGAAGAAAACTACCTTTGGGGATAATGCACTCGTTGTTATGATTTCATGATGAATAGAGCTGGCATTTTTGTCTTTGTTCGGTTGGGTGCCGGTTGTTTTTGTTTTTAGATACATAGTGAGGATTATCATAACATGGTAGGAACCTACCACACCCACGTCCACGGGAGTGTTGACCTCTCTTGCGGTTATTGTTGTTGAAACGATCTTTATGGATGAGGTTTGAGATGGGAGGAGTTGGTAACAAGGCGGATGTTGGTGGGGCAATCGTGGTCGCGAATAGAGTTTCGGTGTTTAAAAATTCATGGTCGATAAGGAAACTATGGAGATCGGTGAAGGTTACGGAGTTCCGGTTTTGTAGAGAGGGTGATGATGATATCTTTAAAGTCACTAGAGATGCCTTTAAAAACATATGGATTGAAGTCTATAGGAGAGAGTGGTCGTCCTGTCTGTAGTAAGCTCATCATTGATCGACTTAGCCGGTGTAGGAGCCGAGATACAAGTTCATTGTGTTGCTTGGTGAAGATTTTGGAGTGATAGATGCGGGGTCATGATTCGTGTGCTTGGAAGGAGATGCAAGTGCACTCTCGAGGACGGTCCAAACGTCACGGGAGGTAGTGCGATCAATGATCAATGGGAGGACATCGATTAAGAGGGAGGAGATAAGGGTGCTCATCAACGGTTGGTCTTGTTGGATCCAAGAGGCTCGTGGGAGGTCGGTAATGGTGGAATTGGGGTTTTGTGGAGGACAAGGATTAGAGCCATCAATGAAGCCGAAAAGGCCTTGGCCAAGGAGGAAGGGCTTCATTTGTACACGCCATAATAGATAGTTTGTGTGAGTGAGTTTGAGAGAGAGAAAGTGATGGAAATTGGCGAGTTGACTTAGTGGAATGGTTTTTGATGCAATAGAGTTTTCATTGTCGGATGAGGTTGCACTTGAGGAAGTCATTGGTTTGTTTGGAGATAGAAACGGGAACAACGGTGATGTCAAAGGGTTCGGCTCTAATACCATATTAGACTTACACAAGGAAGAAGATGATGAATATTTTTCCTTAATATTCTTTATTATGTTGCTGTAACTATTTATACGAGTAAGTACAAACATAGATTGTGTAGAACTCCTATAGGATAATGATAGAGTAAGTTTATCTAGTTTTGATCACATCTATACATGGAGGAGAGTTGTCCCATGTATGGACTCCGCTACTTGTAAGAGTTTGTAGTTGCACCCATTACTTGGTTATTGTAGAGCGAGTGTCGATTTGGCTTAACAAAATGAAACGTGCTATATGAGGCACAAATAATAATAATAATAACAACGAGTTCACCCAAAAGCATAAGAAAATTAAGCATACAGCACCAAAACAAGAATATGGTGCAAGTAAGTAAACCAACGAAAGTACACAAAAATAATTCGGTGCCTTCCATGCCAGTTGTTGGCAAGTATAAGGGAAAACCCGGATTACTCATTCATCATTTGACTCGGTACTCATACCACCGCCTCCTCCTGCGTCATATCATGGTGGTCCAAAAGGTCCGCGACACCCACCAATATAAGGGTTGAAATAGTAGTGGCACCCACCAATATCGGGGTCGCGACGGTTGTCACAAACTCTACTTAATTCCCTCGTTGCCTTTATTCGGTTGGAACATGATAGAAAAATAATGATAACAAAGATTAGCTTATCTTGACTAAATCTTATTATATTTATCATCCTCCCTCAAGTCGAGTTCCGGGAAGCACGATCGGCTTGTAAACTTGATGTAGATGTTGTCGTTTGGCAAGAAATTTAGTTAGGATGTGAGCTAGTTGATCTTTGATTGGAATGTAGTGCACTTGCAATTCCTTTTTGCTCACTTTGTCTCGAACAAATTGGAAGTCAATCTCCAAGTGTTTGGAACGGGCATGAAATGCTTTGGATTGGCGATTAGGTAGGTTCGTTGAAAGGTTATCACACCAAAGTATGGTTGCAATTGGTAATGGAAAGCCAATTTCACGTAAAAAGGATTTGGAGCCAAGTTACCTCGAAAGTCGTTCTTGCCAAGGCTCGTACTCTACATTAGTAAATGAATGAGCTACTTGTTCTTTGCTTGTGGGAAGTCTAAGAGATAAGATTGCTACCAAGGAAGATGATATATCTCGTTGTACTCTTTCGGTATATGATGTCACCCCCTAATCGGCATCAATATATCTTTGAGATGTGATAAGAGGATGAAGGGGTGAGAAGGAGACTATGAGTGCGAGTGCCCTTGAGATAGCGTAAGATATGCTTGACTAAAACCCATTGTTCTTCAATAAGGGCATCCATAGATTGAGCGAGGATAATTGATGGCAAATGATACATCTAGCTGTGTGAGGGTTAAATACTACGACCCACCAATAATACTTCGAAATAGTGTTGGATTCTCAAAAGCGAGTGGTGGTTGTGGTGGAGGGATGCGAGTCGCTAGGCATGACCAAGGGATCGGCATGTGTTTGGGTGGTTGGAGAAGAGGCCACGGCCCCTCCAGGCGTCTTGGATTTATTCGGAAAAAGAAATTGATTTGAGTTTCCATCGTTTGATTTTTTTTTTTTTAATTTGAGTTCTCTCGGTTATGTGAGATTGAAAAATACTAAGTGTGCCTAATATTTTTAACTAACATGTGGTATAAACAAGTCCCACTTAAACTAATTAAAAAAAATTAATTACGAGAAAATAGCTTAATTACAAACCCTTTACCAACATGTAGAAGAACAATAAAATTAATAGTAGAGTCGCTATGAGAAATTTATATGGATTTTTTTTGACGTCATCGAGATCGAAAAATACTAACGAGAAAATGATCTACTAACATGTGGCGAGCTTTAACCGACATGAGGGAAAAAGTGGGTATTTGATTTTGATTTTTTTTATAAAAAAAAAAGAAAAAGAAATTCTTACCAATTATTTTCTATTATAAAAGTTTTATAATTTTTTATTCGATTCCAAATAAAGTCATATTAGGCTCATTTTTTGCCACATGTCAATGGATCTCGGTTATGTTAATATTTTTTAGTCTCAAACGACTAAGGAAACTCAAATAGAAAGAAAATAATAATTAAAACATAGGGCACTTAAATAGATAGAATAAAAGGTTGTGCACTAAAATAAATTTTTTCGGATAAATCTAAGTGGGATCCACTTTTGTCATGTGACTATTCATTTAGGACATGTCAATATTTTTCAGTTTTAAGTGATTGTAACCTATGGAAGGCAAAGGAATGTAACCTATGGAAGGGGATATATTTTCTAACATTTTTCCTCACTTGCAGCTTATTTTTTAAGGTTTGTCAAGTGGTTTGAGTTTTAAAATTTTTATTAATTCATTGGACTTTGGTGAGACTTTTCACTATATCTTATTCTTTACAAAGAAAGACGAATATATATACTCGTTTACATTGCTAACATTAGGATCAATGATTCTATGAAAATGCTAGTTGTCATATATATATATATATATATATGATTAAGTTAATATAAAAAAAATCTTAACATTATATAAAATATTTCTAACATTAAAAAAATATATTCTAATATAGTATTTCCTAAATTAAACTTCTTTATTGGTCATTTGACTCGATGCTCAAACCACTCCCTCCTCGTGCTCTATATCATGGAGGTCCGTCGTTTCCCCTGCACCTACCACATCATTATAATAATTATTATCGGTACGTCCAAGCTGATCATCATCCCTCCCTAATGCCCTCACTTGCCATTATTCGGTTGGAGCATGATAGAAAAAATAATGGTAACAAAGAGGATTATTGTCAAGTATTGATTATAATTTTCTTCAGACCCCATTTATGACACGAAAATAAGTCTGCGACTTTTAGAGAGCTAACTACTTAACAAGATGCGGGGTGGTATAAGTATAGATGGAGAGGGTTAGCTAACTCGTGTGATAACAATAACGAAGAATATGGTTTGTGTATATATATATATGTTAATGTTTTTTTATTTTCTTTCTTTTTCTTTTCTCTTTTTTTCCTAGCATTTTCTTTTTTGTTTTCTTTCTTTTCCTAACATTTTTTCTATCGGTGAAAAATCGTCATCGGTCTCTAAAAATTAAGAGAATCAACAATTCATTCACCTATTAATTACATAACCTAATTATTGAAATAAATTCTAAAATTGACATTAACTAAATAAATTTAAAATAATAAATCAGAATTAAGTATAAAATAATAATAAAAAAGCATGCATACATAAAAATAAATATGTAGCATAAACAAACCAAATAGTCATTAAAGATTAGCCAAAATGCCCCTACGATGCTCTTGAAAAATTATCAAAATGCCCCATGGAACCTCGAAACTACTATCAAGACGTCCGATTGCCTTCGGCCACCCTTCGGGGACATGAACCACCTTATGTGGTGGAGGAGATTGTCATGAACCAAACGGTGGTGGTGGCTTGGGTAGCCATCGCTCGAGAAGGGAGATCAACAACCTTGATGTTTTGGTCGGATCTCCTCCTCTTCTCGATGATGATTTTGAAAATGTTAAAGGGTTTTAAGGACACTAATTGACTCGTGAGGTTTAGAGCGAGTGTTTCGAGGTGGATAAGTGGTCTAATTTAGTCAAAATCAGCCAATTTTTTTGGGTTCTTTAAAACGGGTTAGAAATAGGTTTTTGTCGATTATACCATTTTTTGATGACGTTGGGCTGTGATTTCAAGGGGGAAACACTTAAGGGAGTAATACGACCAAGTCCATAGTGATGGAAGTCGATGGTTTGGCGGAAATCGAAAGAGACAATTAGGTCGCCAAATGGGTAGGGTCGTGGTGGTTCAAACTCGGATTTCTCCATCTTTCGACCTCATCTCCTCTCTAAACGAGTGAGGATGAGCTAATCTAGTGATGGGCTATCTATGAGTGGTGACGGTTGAGGTCAAAATCAATCGAAATGTCATCAATTTGAAGGAGAAAGATTCCATCAAGTTAATAGGGATGTTGGGCTCCCTAATCGGTTAAGGGCGTGTTTGGCTTCTTCTTTTTTGTGTGGCTTTTTTTTTTGGTGGTGAAGGGTGGTTAGATGTGTGGGAGATGTTATGTTGGTTGGTTAAGTGGAATGAGGAGGCTTGGGATGAGTAGGGAGATGAGTGATAGGTTAAGGCCTCTTTTTTTGGTAGGTGGAATCATTCGGCTTTTGTGGCTATTGTGATTACCTACAAAATGAAGGGAAAAAGTGGTTTATATAGAGGATTTTTAGGGTCTTGGGGGAATAAGTCATCTCCCCTATCTTTTTTATTACACACACACACACACACATATACACATACATACATGTATTTTTTTATTCTTTTTCATTTTTTTATGTTTTTATAGTAAATTCCAAAATAAAGTAAAATGAAATAAAATAAAAATAAAACAAGAAACAAATAAAACAAGAAAGAGAGAAGTTTTGGGTTGTGATAGTAAACAATTACAACATTGCTGAATCTTTACCTAATGGAAAACCTAAACGAAACACATGCTTAGCGTTGGGTATGAGAATTAGTAAGTTTAAAAGAATAGAGGGTTGGCTTAAGCGAGAAGACTTTAGTCACTTAAGCAAATGATTTCGATTTTGATTTCTTATGCACGTAGAAAACTTATTCTGTAATTGTATTCGTCTTGTGTGTCCAACTTGTATAATGAGTAATTAGTCTAGACTTTATGGTTGTTGATTTCTTCTCAATTTTATATATCATCCATTTTTTGTTTAATTATTTAATATGTGATATGTGCTCTAATAGTAGGATACTATTAAAAATGAGTAATTAGTCTAGCCCCATTAAAGTGGTTGCCATTGATACAAAGCAAGGTGAAGAATCATTAAAAATATCAAAGTTTAATAGAGAAAAGAACACACTACAAGAACAAGAACGTAACAAAAGCCATCAAATTAGGGACACAAAGATAATTAACAAAAGCGACCCCCAATCCGCTCTTGCGTCAAATCATGGAGGTCCACCGTGTCTGCACGTACTAAGACCTCTGGGATAATAGAAGCATTTATTATTATATGCCAAAGCATCATGATGTGGGGTCAAGGATTTGGGTGAAGAATAAATCCCTATAGTTGTTGCCGGCCCCTCTGCCGATAGTCGGTCGGAACATGGTAGAAAAATGATAATGGCAAGAAAGAGTATCATTCTCCAGTAGTGATTATCCCTTTGACACTCCATTTATGGCACACAAAAAACTGGGACTTCAAGGAACAAGATGTTTGGTTTTGGTTAAAGAGCTAGCTACTTAGCAAGATGCAGGGTGACAGTAAAGATGAAGAGAGGTTAGTTAGGTGGCTAGGTAAGGATAATGAAAGTAGGGGTACATATATAAGAATAATAAAGTTACAATGGCTATGTGCAGTCATAGTTGCTATAATGTGTATCTGAAAACTATTTTATCTTGAAAGTTTAAATTTTTAGGTGCCATTGAAGGACATAATTTATATTATTTCTAACATACTTTCTCAAATAAAATCTTTTATTTCCTTAAAATTTATACACGTTCACATTATCTTGTGTTTGA